TTTTTTTTACATGGGTACTAGCTAGCTATTTTAAACATCATGCAACAGTTTTAAATAGACTCCATTCGTCCAACCAAATCCGTCTTGTAGAGGGTAGTTGCCACCTCCAGCTTTCACATTGTCCACTACGTTGTATTTCTGGGTCATTTTTCCTGTCTCTTTAAATACACGATCGTTTAGAGTCAACCATCGTAGTCTTACTTCAGCTGCTAACTTATTGAATCCATAATTCTTCAAACCTTGATAAGCTATCCATTGCAAGGGTGCCCATCCATTCGGCCAATCCCATTGTTCACCAGTTCTCTCTAGAGTAGTAACTAGACCGCCAGATTGTAGAAAACTTTTTTCAAGACGTTCATGAACATGTGCTGCTTGCTCAAGTGTTGCTAATTTAAAAAAGAGTGGATAAACACCAGCTAGTGTAATAGCGGGTGTTGATCGATTTTGTGTCCAATCATAGTCCATAAAAAATTTAGTTTCATTATTCCAATGAATGTTTTGAATTGCATTTTTTCGATTTTCTGCTAACCTTCCGAATTTTTTACTCGATTCCAAATCACCTTTTTGGTTATATGTACTTTCAACTAAATTCTCCAGAGAGTAGAGAAGACAATTAAGATCGATCGGAACAATATCTGCTGCATGGTTGGTCTCCATACGTTTAGTATCAATTAGCCAACGTGAAGAAAAATCCCAACCTGATTCACAAGCAGCTCGGATATGTTGATAGAATTTTTCAGCAGAGATGCCCTTTTGCTCAGCTTTTTGACGATAACCTTCTTCCTTTGGATATGCTTCTGGCCGAGGCGTAGTCAATGGATCCCAATATCGATTGAGAATCGTGCCATCGGGCAATCGTACAACATGCTAAAAGTATTACAATCGACTACTCGAATATCTTTATTTTCTTTCATTTATAAATTTCTGAAGAAAGTCATTATGAAAGAAGTATTGGGATAATAAGACATTGGTGAGAAGTTTTTTTTTCAACTTATCAATTAAATGCCTCAACACCGATTTCATCTGTACAGTGTAGAAACTAAAGAAATAAACTTACACTTTTAACTGGTTGTTCATCTGTCAACTGATCAGTATTTGTCATCCACCATTCATATTCTTTGAGTAGTTGAGGCAAATATCGTTGTTTGATATGTTCTGTATGATCTGTATCAGCTAACAACTGAATCATTTCGGCGAAAAATGGTGGCTGAGATCGGCTTAAAAAATAGGTACGACTTCCATTTGGTATAAAACCAAATCGGTCAATCATATAGGCGAAATTGTCAATCATTCCTCTAACTATATGTAGCCGTTCAGGCTTAAGAATTAAGCCTAACATGGTGAAGTATGAATCCCAATAGAAAATTTCTTGAAATCTACCACCGGGAACAACATAGGGGAATGGAAGAGGTATTTTTGAACTACCTTCAATTGGCGTATCAGCTGGTCGAGAAAGTAAATCCCATAGTTTATTTATGTGATCTTTAGGAGCCATTGTTGGATCACTAGTGTAAGTCAAAGCAGTACATGATGGAAGATGAAAATGTTTATTAACGAATGTGAGAAGATTAAAATCCGGTAAGATTTTTTCATGTTCGTAAAGAACGACTAGTTCCGATGGTGAAATGTCTGGAATGGAATCCACGAAAATTTTTGTGTCGGAAAATACATGAGCAAGTTGAATGTCGAAATAAAGCTGACCATATAATAGATCGGGCGATGGAGGAAGACTCGTGTTAGATGTCATATTTCACATCGAAAGTAAAAAACATTCAGTAGTTAATATAATTTTTAATAGTTCTATATTAAATATCATAAAAATATGTATGAATATTTCAAGCTACTTACCCATTTATACAATAACTTCTTTATTTGCTATGTTTTACTTTTTGACCTCAATGATCCTAAGAGAACAGCTAACTAACAATAAATGTGTCTGTTAGAGTGATATACATAAAACATCAACAAAAAAAAAGAAAGGAAAAGAAAAGAACGAGAAAGAAAGGAAGAAAGAAACGTCAAGAGTAAAGCATAATGCAGAAAATGAATTATTATAGTAAACGAAGATTGACAAAGAGATGATTTGAAAATAAATGGAAAACGACTACGTGTATTAGAATGTCTCTGGAAATTTAGCATAGTATCAGATATATTCCACATTGATAATTGTTACTCAAATAGATGAACCGCAATTTGATAAACACTTTAAGATACGACCGAATATATAGACATATGAGACGAATCGTTTAGAACGATAGAGAATCGACTAATTGAATACTCTGTTTTAGTCTTCATTTACCGTATAATTTTTTTTCTCTCTCTCTCTCTCATATTCATACCAAAGAAGTAGTGTGCATGTGCTCTCACATTGTTTATCTATAGGTCACGTGCATGTGCACGTGAATCTGTCGTTATTTTTATTTTATCTGTAATAATACGTGTCATACTGAATTTAATCTACACTCAAATCATATATAAAACAATATTAATTAATGAAAATATAAAAGAAGTCATTCGTATTGAGTCAACTGGCATAACATGATTTCTTCAAAGCTTAAAGTGACACACCAATGCTCTAAGTGACAAATGCAGCAATAGAAGACTTACACAAAGCAAAATGTAATCACATGTAAAATTCGATTCATTCAGGGAAAGTGAGCTGTATTGCGATTTGTTTCGCACTGTGTACTTTATCACAGTGAATCATTTACTAGAGATTACTGAACTTAGTAATGCATAAAAACACGGAACAAAAAATGTAAAAACATTTTATAATATTCAGTTGAGCTATGTAAACAATTCAATAGACCTAAATAGGATTGTCTACCTGTATTAAAAAAAAAGGATAATTCAACTTCTAGCACATAATTTAATGTACTTATTTATACATTTTATTCGAAAAACGCTTGAAAATGGTGTAAAACATCTAAAAATCCCATTATTGTAAATCGATTGGTAAATATAGAAATTTTGTTAAGTAAAAACTCGATAGTATTTTGAAAAGAAAGTTAATGATGCAGTTATAGTATTGATGAAGATTTCATTGTTGTTGTTCGAAGATGTTCTCGTTTTTGTCTTTCATCTGAAGTATATACTCTACTGTTCAAGAAGATTTTGCAAGATTTCAACCTTATTGACAATATTTAGACCACTGCAAATTCCATTTTTATAGTGTAATGCATTGTCTGACAATAGTTCTCTTGGCAGTCTTGCAAAATGATATGTATGAGTCCATTTTTTTGAGCGCACTTGTTGATCTTGTTGCAAATACGATTCTATTTGTTTGACTCTGATTACGAGACTCGGATCATTTATTTACAATAGTATTTCGTGTTTTAAAGTCTTTGGAATGCATATTCATCTCGGACGACTTTATTTGTCCTTTGTAATTAACTTTTTGTGAGTGGTGTTAAGCCATTGTATATTGCCTAATAACAATGTCTATTCGTTGACTTTGTTTTATAACTGTAATTTCAATTGATAAACTAAATGAAAAAATATTTTACATGTACGTCACTTATCAAACTTAATAAAAGTCTTTATTATCAAGAAAATTGAAACTAACTTAGCGTCTTACTGTTAAAATAATGTGTATCAGTATAATGAAGCCATAAAATACATGTGAAGTCGACATATCAAGCCGATCTGTTCACGATTGAAATTACCTTTTTTTAAGAATTGCATTTGCCAAGTGAGAGATATTTTCATGATTTATATTTGTTTCATAATGATATCGAATGTATACTTCGTTATATGCCTTATCTTTGTAAGTTAACATTGAGTATTCGTGATACACTTGATCCAAGTTTTTTCCAAGAAATCAATGATGGAATCTATGCTAAATAAATATGTTTCTCAGCTTGATAAACTTGATTATGCTATGACGCATGTAGGTGTGCACCAGTGCCAGTAACTGGGTCCCAGTCATTGACTCAGACTCAGTCACGACTGGATACTTAGTCATTTGACGTTTATTCCGCTAATCGGTCAGTATTTCCCTCTTTTCTAAGGGTGTGGGTGTGGGGATTGGTTTGATGTTGATATGGGTGTCGTTATTGCCATTCTAACCATTCTCGCGCCCAAACAACATCCACACCCATATCTATCCAAACAACACTCACATCCACACGCACCCACCACACCCCACGCCCCACACCCACAACCACCCACACCCACACACCCACACCCACACCCACACACCCACACCCCACACCCACACCCTGCTAGAATTATTCTTGAGCAAATCAATAAAAGTCAACCCAAATCGATATGGAATGATAGAATTTCAAGCTCTATTTGAATAGATAATTGCTTTTTTAAAAAAGGTATTTCTGTAGTGATGAAAAATTTAAAAAACTAATTTTGATGATAATGGCAAAATCAAGTCTGTGGGAATCTGGAGGGTGTGGGTGTTTATATCAATTGAATTCCCATCCACACCCACACCCACCCACGCACACGCACACGCACACCGTCACACCCAGCCACACCCACGCCCAGCAAAAAAAGGAAGAGAGTATAAGAAAAAAGAATTATTTTGTTTACATTGTTACATATAACCCAGATGGAAAGAAAGGTTGAAACATATAAATGGCACAGATTTTCGCCAACTGTGGTCATTTTGTAAGTTAGTTCGAAGAAATGGAAAGCTTCCAACAATAGAAAGTTTGAAGGGGTAAGTTGCACATAGAAAGAGAGCATCTGTCATTAGAAATAGATCGTCAATTTACGCAGTATATTTGATATAGAAAAGATGACCAAGGAAGTTCAACAAGGAGATGGTCCATGTGAAAAACGCAGCTGCGGAAGATGATGGGGTTGGCAACCCGGAAACATCGAATGTGGTGGTTGTGGACATTCTTTTAGCGATCATAGAGGCTGATAATGGCTTGACGAATTTATTCACAATCACCAGAGGACTTGTTCATCTTTTACTCTAAGTTAAGCCTACCACTTCACATTTTTTTATTTTTCTGCGATTGCGTGTACATTCGTCTTATTTTCTAAATAAAGAATTTTCATTATACCGTTCTAAGCTTATCATAGCTCGTTTCGACTTCTCCCCAAGCACATGAAAGATCCGTATCAACCTCATTCTTGGAAGTGTAACAGTAGACAAGAACCGAGGAAAAATCGGTTATAGTTTGTTATCCAACATGGTCATTCAGCATTGACGTTCACAAAACAGACATTATTTTTACGAGCTCTTGGATTGACGAGAGAACGAACCAACCGCTAATGGCTGATTGAGTTCATATTTTGATAAAAACTAGAACTCCATGAAAGTAGAAAGTCTCTGAGTGTAAGTTATTTTTCTCTTCACCATTGTCCACACCCACACCTACACCCCACACCCACTCGCAAATCATGATTTGGAAGTGCATTGTTATGACATCATGATAGTACAGGTTGAAAAATCAGCAAAAAAAAACAAAAGTTTCATTCATAACACATTGGCGGAGCAAAAGTTCTCGAAAACACTCACTGTGCTATTATAATAGTTAGTTACCCCAAGATCTAGTTTACCATCACCATTAAAGTCGCTTGTAACAATGGAGCTTGGATTACCGCTAGCTGGGAGAGTCTCGTACACAGTAAAACTTCCTTGGCCATTACCAAGTAGTATGGTCAAGGTATTATCGCCGAAATTTGCAACGACGACATCTGGCTTACCATCAAGGTTGAAATCCCCGACAACAACTGATTGTGGATTTTTGCCTGTTGGAAAGCTTTTTTGTCCGATGGTGTCATTTACACCATTTCCAAGTAGTATAGCCACAGTATTATCACCAAAGTTTGCGACGACAATATCTGGCTTACCATCAAGGTTAAAATCACCGACAGCAACTGATCGTGGATTTCCGCCAGTTGGAAATGTTACCTGTCCAATAGTGTCGTTTACACCGTTTCCAAGTAACACAGTCACGGTATTATCAACATAATTCGCAATGACAACATCTGGCTTACCATCAAGGTTAAAATCAACGACAGCAACTGATCGTGGATTTTTACCGGTCGAAAAGCTGCTTTGTCCAATAGTGTCATTCATACCATTTCCCAGGATAACAGTCACAGTATGATTACCAGAGTTCGCAACGACAATATCTAGTTTTTCATCAAGGTTGAAATCAGCGACAGCAACTGATTGTGGACTTGTACCAGTTGAAAAGATACCTTGTCCAATAGTGTCATTTATACCATTCCCTAGTATTACAGTCAGAGTATTATCATCAGAATTCGCCACGACAATATCCAGGTTACCATCATGGTTAAAATCAGCAACAGCGACTGCTTGTGGATTTACACCTGTTGAAAAGCTTGTTTGTCCAATAATGTCGTTCATGCTTCCAAATAGAACAGTCACGGTATTACTACCGGAGTTCGCGACGATGCCATCTAGTTTACCATCACGATTAAAATCGCCAACAGCAACGGAGGTTGGTAGAAAACCAACAGGAAAACATTGTGATATAAATGTTAGTGGACAAGATGTGGCTAAGAAGACGCAAATCAATAAAATAAATAGCAGACACATGCAATCATCTGTTAGATAATGGTGAGTTCAAAAAAACCACATGCAAAACTTCGTCCTGATATGATAAGAAGTCTACCTACTGAGAATGTGGATGTGGCTGAGTGCAAATCTCCCATGTCAATCATGCCCACTCATACTCAATAATCAATCTGTAAAAACCGAATAAAATTTCGATTACAATTCAGACAACTTAAGTTATTTTGTTTCTCTTATAATGATGAGTCTGAATAGGTTTTCTTTTACCTGATTCACAGAAATTCATCATTGACAATGGTAAACATACTACTTGTGGTGCACAACACGAGTTCACAACGCATATAGAAGTATTTGATGCACAACGATAAGTAATATTATCACATGGTTCCAAAATCGAACATATACTAGCAGGTGCACAGTAAGTAATATTATTAAATGTACGGTAATTGAAGCAAGGTGTTGATGATAAACGACAGCTGTCGTTCGCATTCGAGCTTGCATAACACTGTTGTAAAGAACAATTTAATGTTGGTTGCCATGCAGAATGAGGTGACGAAGACAGAGTAAATTGGACAGTAGTATCCGCTGCATTGCAGTAGTAATTAGATATTGTTGTATTTTCACCTAAGTATCGATCATGACATGAAAGAACAAAGTGAGAAGAAATAAATCATCAAACCGTGTATATATGCGAATGAAGCAGCAAAAACTAGTACCGTTACAAATTGAATCATTTGAACATAAGCAGTGGATGCAAAAATACTTATTTAAAATTAATCGATCTTTTTTCGAACTTCAGAAAAAAAACATATCCTATAAATGCCTTTCATACTGAAGAAAAGAAAAAAGCTGATTTCTTATTCATATTTACTCCTTCCATTAAGGGCGAATAAAACATACACTGTCAAAAATGAATGAAATAGTGCATCTGTGGCTGATTCATGACCAAGGTGATCGAATCGTGTTGTAATAGATTGTATACTTTTATAAAATGAATGTAATAGTGTTTGGGTGTTAGTATACATCAAAAGAAGGATCAAGTCGGACCAACATCTCACACCCATATCCACACCCTCAATGAAGTCGACACGAACAAAAAAAGATGCATACTTTGCTACATGAATAAAATTCGAAAAATGACTATTTATCAGTGCAAAACTTATGCTGAAGAACAAGGTCTTTATTTTTCACACCGTTTTGAAAAATTTCATCTTATTCTAATAAATGAAGCAACAAAATAACAATTTGAAATAAAAGATACTATTGATAACTAATGGAAATCTCAATAGAAAAATGAAACAGTCGCTATAATTATAGCCTTGAAGTATATATAATCGGCATTTTAACATCATTCAGGCTTTTATTTTTTATTGTTTTTAAATACAAAATATGATGTACGTCGTCTTAGAAGACGACAGAATGAAAAGAAATAATTTCGCATTCTGCATGTCACTTTGTAGGTAACATGGAGTATTTATGAAAGGTGAACGATCGAAACGATCGTCAGTATTCATAAATAGACTTGATTTATATATAAAAGGAATTGCGACGAAATAAACTCGAATGCAATTAAATGAAAATTAAACCCGAATTAATACTATGAAGCTGTCATTTTGTTTTGTATTACCGTTCCCTGCTGAAGCCAATAAGGACCAATTTTGTTTCTATTGGACAGATCGTATCGACTATTTCTCGGTTATAATTGCATTTTAAGAAAAAAACGAAAAACTTAGTTCAGTGGAGAAAATCTTTCTTTTATTTTCTAGTATGGAAGAAAATCATGACCCACTTAGTATTGTAGGAGATCGCCACGTTCAGTGCATTTAATATTGATCCGTTTAAAACATTATCCTTTTTCGCTCAGTCGGCTTAATGATTCGTGAATTTATATTATTTCGAACATGCCAGACTTTACATACACAACATCTCAAACTATTGATCAATTACGTCACGCTGAAAACAAATGAACATCAATAATTTGATATGCTAATAATTTTGCTACATAATTAAGTTCTGAGCAAGTTCCTCGTGAACATACTAAATCCATAGCTCGAAGTTTTCAGAAAATGTTCAAGCTATTCAACAACAATTGTATATATTCAAATGTAGCTAATTTAGAACGTGTATCATCTAGTTTACCACATGAAGATTTATGTTATAGTGCTTGATTAGATTTTAATTCAACTTGAATGAGAACAGAAACAATACGAAAGAAATTATATGAATTAGAAAAAACGATTCTGAATTATAAGAAAATAGAGAACATGTTAAAAACTTTGAATTACACTTACGAGGGAACATTCCCAAGTGTCACATCGCTTTTGAATCGAGAATATGAGCATCATGTAGACCCTAATGATCTATGAATATCCTGAAAAAAGTTCGTGCTGCTAGCTTGTTGGTGCTGAGATATTGCATTTTTACGGTATTCTTTGAAAAAGAATGCCGTGGTCCCCCTCAAGGACACCAAAAAAACTAATTTTTGAATTTTGATTTAAAACTTTGTATAGAGATAGATTTTAATGGGAATAGTTTATTCTGATAGTTTCAGATCTTTTAATTTAGTTTTATCCTGTAATATGAACATCGAGTCTGTCCGTGTATGTGAGCGATTTTATTATAGCCATATCTTAGGATAGGAACAATCAAAAGGTCTGAAATTTTCACAATATGCTATTCCCTTTACTACTTGTCTCTAGGTAAAATTTCAAGTCAAAATTCGAAACTCAGTTTTCCTGGTATTCCTGAGGGGAACCACAGTTTTGTGCTTAAAAATATCCTAAAAATGCGATATCTCGACACCAATAAGCTAGCAGCACGAACGTTTTTCAGGATATTCATAAACCATTATGGCCTACATGATGCTTATACTCTCGACTCAAAAGCGATGTGACACTTGGGAATGTTCCCTCGTTAGCTCAACTTTCATAATAAAACTCATTTCTTGCGTAATTACTTTTAAAATATTATGAATTATTCATAAATTGTGTTCTCCATCTTTTCTCTTCAAATTTAATGATTAAAAGAAAAAATTCATTTTGAAATGAGATAGTACGAATTCTCTTTGCTTTTCTAGTTTGTACGTAAGGTCAACTAGTATGAGACATGAATAATTCAGATTATGTGACAAGAAGAGATTGAAAAAGTTGAGAAGCTAACTTTTTTCGTTCTTTAGTAACTACTACAATTCTCAGACAGTTTGAAAAACTTATTCGTTGAATCTTGATTATATGTAAGAAAATCAAAGCGCAATCGGCTAGTGTCCCGTCAGAAGGCAGTAGAGTAGAAATCTAGTAATTAGAAAGAAACCATAAACAGTGACTTTTTAGCGAAAAAAGCAAAAATTTGAAGAAAATCATCATGATACTCAGACATATCCAAAGCTTCTTTTTAAGAGTCGAACCATAAATACATACGTGATATTAAAGGGTTAGATATTGTTTCAATAAAAACACCTAAAATGTGTGAATTTGAGGGTGGGTGTGGGTTTGGTTGTTGGTGATATAATGAAAACCCACATCCACACCCACATCTAAGGATAGGAAGTTACCGTTCCCAGACCGTTGCCTGGGAACGGTAACGGTAACGAAAAGTTACCAGTTACCCGGGTAACTGGTAACGGAAAGTTACCAATTACTGTTCAAGGTAGCTCGTTAAAACGACGAATTATGACTTCCTACGATCGAATTTTGTGAAAAAAATAACTTTTAAATTTCGGAGTTATCCGGTAACTGGTAACGCGGAACCAGTTACCAGTTACCGGATAACTCCGAAATTCAAAAATTACTTTATCGACGAAATTTGAACATAGAAAGCCATAATTCTTCATTTTAACAAGTTACCCTGAAAAAGTAACTGGTAACTTTCCGTTACCGTTACTTGGGGACGGTGACGGTAACTTCCCATCCTTACCCACACTCCCCCCCCCCCCACACCCACACCCACAGTGATGGAACTTATGTGTATGTGTTTATTTCGTTTGGACAAAGACTACTAAAATTCAACCTACCTTTGTAAGACGTGAAAAGAAAATTGTGCTAAATGTTTGTTAACCTTAATGGTTTTCCTTATTATTCTGAATTGCCATAAAAATATAAACGATTGAATATTGTGATTGAGTACTTTTCAATCATTGCATCTTCGATTTTGAATTTTTTGTTCTTTCTCCTCCGAAAAGGACAAACTGTATTTATCCGCTTGTCATTTAAATAATTTACATACGTATAGGTTTCATATGACAGTGTATTGGTCGCATTGTTGTTAAAACCACCCACTCACCCTGAGATATATAATACAGTTTTCTCTTTCGCACTGCGAACGTGCATTGTATTAATATTTTGTTGAGGAACATGATACTCGCAATATAAAAAAAACACTTCTCTCGAACAACAGCATTAAAAACACAGCTAATTTATTCTCTTTCGTAGTAGAAGTCATGAAAGATTCAGTTGAGCTTCAAAAAAAGAACCATCATTCATGGTTTGAATGGGCTCAACTTTTCATCTATCTTTCAATCCCAGTGGTTATTATTATATACACCGTCATACAAAATAATAATGATATATCAATCGCCGAGAAAAATCGCCGACAAGATCTTGAAATAGACGAGCGTCGTCATAAACAAGATATTGAATTAGCTGAACAACGTCGACAACAGGATATTTTCCTAGCTGCTGAACAACAAGAAGAAGACATTCTACTCAATTATTTTAATTCACTTGGAAAATTATTGGAGAAGCATGGTGTCAATCTTAATGAAACTGCAGTGGGTCGCCGGATAGGTCGATTTACAACACTTGCAGCATTGAATCAACTCAACTCGAAGCGAAAAACACTTGTCATTGTATCATTGATCGAAAATACACTTCTCACAATTCAAAAAGATAGGTATCCAACCATTTCCCTATCATCAGCCAATTTAACTGGTCTTAACTTGACTGGCAAATTTCAGTTATCTAAACAAATCGAGTGTGTCTCTCTCGATGCAACCATACTTACAAATGCATCCTTTCAAGATGCACAATTTTGGAGTTGGAGTTTTAAAAATTCTTATTTGATCAATAGTGACTTTTCATCCTCGAACGGATTGTCGATTGCATGTCTCGATGGTTCTAGTTTGTACAGTGTCAATTTTGCTGATTCAACGCTTGACGGTTCGAATTTCGTTGGTGCTCATTATTATAGGGCTAACTTTATGAAAACATCCTTGGAAAATGCTCAAATGCGTTATTTCACATGCAATGAATGTAACTTTGAAGGGGCCACCATAGACCTGGCTTATCTCAACGCAGCTTTATTTGATAATTCGGAATTTTTAAATATCAAAATGTCATCAACTTTTCTGCACGCCACTCAGATCCATCGCAGCAACCTCCATCGAGCTAATCTGTTGAATGTAAATGCAACTCAAACCACTTTGCAGTTGTGTAATTTTTTCGATGCAACGCTTATCAACAATACATTTGTTGAAAGTATAATTTTTGATACATCTTTTGTTTTTGCGACACTAACGAATAGTTCATTTGTGAAGACCAGCTTAAGCAATACCTCATTCGACGAAGCTAACATGCACAACGTTGATTTTTCTCATGCCGAATGCCATCATTGTCATTTTCGCATGACTAATTTGACTCACACCAAATTTACCAATACGTCGTTAAACGGAAGTGATTTTACTGGAGCAGAAATCACATATGAACAACTCAAACTTGCTCGTTCCCTTCAAGATGTTATTCTTCCGAATGGAACTCGTATAAATTGAATGGGTAATTATTCACGATCATGAAACAGACAACTATTATTGATGTCGTAAAAATAATATCATAATATAGATATCGATAGAACTCGTGCACCTAATTGAGATTATATCATCTTGAGAGTGCTACATATAAATCGCATGTATTCATTTTATATTTTTTTAACAATAATTATTGTAGAAAACGACAAATGAGCTACGAAAAAATGAAAATTTGTAGTTCAGTTTTTGAGTTATGGTTTCTTTCGATAATTTAATAAAAAATTTTCCGTTGAGTTATCCATATTTTTTAATCCGTGATTTGTAGACTTCGACGAGTTTCGTGTTGTTTGTACCGATGATGATCGATTCATAAGATATATCACGATAATTGATTACATCGACGAATTTATTTTCCAAATATTTCTTTGCCAAATTTCTAGCTTTATCAAAATCGAATTTAAATAAAGATTGGTTGCCATCATGTGTGCGCAATAGAACAAGCATATCACGCATATAATTAGCTTCAAATTTAATTAAATACAAGATATTAACAGGTGCCAATGCTTTTTCTCGTGTTTTTCATTTATCCACATCTGTTTGCAATTTATCTTTGCCTGGTAATTTCACACGACCAACAAAAACATCATGTACAAGTGCTGCTTCCATATCGAACATCGGAAATAAATAAAGGACGGGAGACGTTTTCCGTTGTTATCGGCCCCCGTAGAAAAAATTATCAATTTTTCATGAAACTTTCAGCAATTCCAGGGCTCATAGTCAGTAGTCACTCCTATAAATTTCAGCTTGATCGCTGAAGCCTTTGCCTTACTTTGATGGTAAGCAAGATAAGCCCCAAAGTGACCCATATTAGTGACCTTGTATACCTAGGGTGTGGGTGTGGGTGTGGGTGTATGTTTGATTTTTACCGACACCTCCCAAGTGTAGAAATCCTAGAAGTAAAAGAAATCTGATCCTGCTCATGATATCTGAAAACATACGTGTGAAAATCAAAGAGTTAGTAGATCAGTACTCTTTCATTCGATTTTTTTATATGAGCCATTAGCATATAAAGTGCAAAAAATACATACACTTCGGGTACAGTAGCACTAATTGCTTCTTGATATCGTTCAGGCAGATTTTCATGTTGCATTATATAGAAATGATATTTGTTTGTTTCCTCAAGAATTTTTTGCATCAGACTGTAATCAAATATCAAATGAAAAAAAATCTAGTGGTCTATTTTCAGCATTTTTTGGTAAATATGAATTGATACCAGATTTACGTGAGTCAAATGTGCATGTTTTTGGCTCAAATCATTCTACCCTCCATGTTCGTTCTTTGAAAGATCTTTCTATATTCTCTTCTTCATCTTCACTATCCGTTTCGTTATTAAAGTCGCAAACAGAATCAGTATCTAACTCATCATCTAATTCTGAATTCAAAAAAGTCTCAGCAACATGTGAATCAATTGTACTACTAGATGTCATAATAATCCAGAAAAATTTCAAAATATGAAAATGACTGATAATAACATATAAAGGGTGTGGGTGCGGGTGTGTGGGGTGGGTGGGTGTGGGTGTGTGGCTGTGGGGTGGGTGTGGGTGGATGTGGAGTGTGGGTGGGTGTGCGGGTGTGGGTGTGGGTGGGTGTGGGGTGGGGCGTGGGTGAGGGTGTGGGTGAGGGTGTGGGATGTGGGTGAGGAGGCGATACTGAACAGTCCTTCCTCCCCCAACACCCACCCCCACCCCCACAGCCATGGCCACACACCCACACCCACATCACCCCACACCCACACTCACACTCAAAAGGACCAAAACATTTAATCCTTCGAGTATGGGCGACATGAACTTGCGTCATGATATTCGCGACTTGAATAAGTTAAACAAACCGATCTGTTGGTTATCTAATGCTATGAATTGCATGAATGTTTACTTTAAGCAGATTCGTGTGGATGCGAGTGTGAATGAGGTGTAGGTGTGCGTGAGTTTGTGGATGTAGGTATCAATAGGAAGGACATATGCACCTACACCCGCACTTCCATCCACACAGCAATACTCACACCCTTCTTATTCATTTGTTTTCATATATGAATCATATTAATAAAAAGCCGAATCAAATGGGTGATTGCATTCGTCTTTACTATGAGTGAACATGAATCGTAGAACCATTCCTTACTTTTGCTTCGTGAAGTATAGTCGCATTTTTTCTTTTTCGATATCGTTACATTCCTTGTACATCTGCCTCTCTAAGTCGATAAGAGAGTAAGGATGGCAGAGGTAACTAATAGTAGTCTTAATAATGATCATCTTTCAGGAAACGAATATGAGATACTGGAACAAGGTTCTATGTCGAATGTTCAAGTTGAACGTATATCAAGGTTTTTATTGAAGTGTCCGGAAGCAGCTTTAAATGTACACAAATACATGCAAAAATATTATTCCAAGTCAAATCAGCAACTACAACTCGTGCAACCAGTGAATTCAACACCAAAACGTGGTCATACACTCGATGAAAGTGGTAGCTCGATCAATGGTAGGGGCCGTCGAAAATATCCTAGAAGAGGTATTGACAACAATGCTCAAAAGAACTCGCACAACGTAGAACAAGAAATTAATTTGCAGTCTCAACAACCATCGTCTCCAAGATCATCGGATCAAAGAAAATATCAAGAAATAAATCAAGCTACTACAAATCGTAAGCGAATCTCTTTTAATCAACTGAAGCATGCGGTATCTTCTAATCTACCATGTTTTTTTATTGAATTCAAATCGGATGCGGATCGTAACAGTATTCCAACAGCTCTTCAAGCTAGTGATCTTATACTTAAAGAACTTCAATCGAAGGAGGTTTTAATCAACAGATTTATATTAGTAGGATGGTCAGGAAAAAAACTAAAATTAGGTGTTAATAATAAAGAAGATTACGCAACTCTACTTGGTTCGGATAAATGGCCGACAAAGATAAATGGAATTGATATTGTCGTCGTGAAACCAAAATATATACCTGATTCATTTGCTCTCGTCGTTCGGTATGTTTCTAGGGAACTAGATGAAAATTTTGTTTCAAATGAAATACAACGAACAATTGCCTCTGCTGATAGAATTAAATGTATTCATTATTCCTATCAAAGAAGAACAGATGATTATCGTTTCGATGTAAAAGATTATAGCGAATATAATGCTGTGTTGCAACTGGGTCGAATTGCAATAGGTCATTCATGATTATCGATCACCAAGTTCTATCCTGGTAACCGCTTAACGTACTGTACGAAATGCTGGCGTATAGGTCATTTAAGAAACAAATGTAATGTAGAAAGCAAATGTCGAATTTGTCTTGAGCATATGAGTGTCGATTCGCCGCATATGTACAAAAATGTACCGAAATGTGCTCAATGTGATGGAAATCATCACTCATTAGATAGTCAATGTCAAGTTTTAAAAGAATATAAATACCAATTAAAAGAAGATGTTGAAGATGCGATACAAAAAGGATTATTACAGCGATTCTGTCCGCAAGAATAATCGCCTACATTCGAACTTCGTGATCAAGATTTTCCACCATTAGCAGCAAATGATAATCATTCTAATACAAAATGGAATATTGCTCAACCATGTACAACCGTCGAGTCGAATTTATTACGCGCATCAGATACAGATAAAACAATTGAATCCATCAATGATAATCTGACTAAGATTATCGATAGTAACAAACGGCTAGAAAATAAAGTTGATCTGCTATCATCAAGCATGAAAACCGTTACGCTCGACACCCAGCTACATCAAGCAGTCTTAGCAGATATCATCAACATTATGAAAGACTTTATTCAATACTTTATACCAGCATCTTTAACTACTGGCAAAATTGAAAGATTATCGTTGGTACTGGTTGCACAAGGATACTATACTCGCTTTCATGCCACGTCTTCAAGATTGATAAATGGCTTTCAATTAAATCAACAATTTCAGCTGATTCCAAAGTCACATAATCGTAGTAGTGTTCAATCTGGCCAACAGTCCGCGTCAGTATACAAATCAACACAAAATGCTAAGTAGAACATCAGATCTTAACGTATACGCTAAAGTTTTCTGTCCTGCTTCAGATAATTATTTATTCAGTCCTAGAGATGAAGCTATGCACCGGCTGAAAACTTGGAATTTTTCTTCAAAAGATCAGAAATTAGTATTATCGCTTTTGGATGAATGGCACTCAGGTAGAACCTTGAACACAGTCTTAGTACAGTGGGAAAATGTTGGAATAGCTCGGTCACAAAACCAAAAAGAAAATATAAAAATTCTATGTTATAATGTTGAAGGTTGGGGTATGCGTGCACTTGAAGCTGTTGATTTAATATATAAAGTTCAAGCTTCTATTTGTATATTTACAGAAGTAGGAGAGTTATGGAACACGAGTCGATTACCACATTTCAACACGTTCTATCAAAAGGGTACTAACAAGAATGGAGGAGTGTGTATAACAGTAGGGAAGCATCTGAAAGCGACACGCATCGAAGTTAACATTCCGAACACGGTTGTTATTGATATAACTGGTCTATCAGAACCAGTACGTATAATCGGTATTTACTGGTCCACTAGTCAACAGCCTGATCTAGATGACGTTCTGCCTTATGTAGTAGAAGGTACCATACTATCTCGTGACTTTAAAGCAACAGTGAAGGAATGGAATTGTCCGAATACTGATAGGAGAGGCGCGCACGTGAAAAAATGGGTTAATGAAAACAATCTCAATTATATTCCATCAACAACCCACTCATCAAAGCGCTCCCTACGTAATATAGATTTGTCGTTTTCTAATATGAGTGCTATTTCAAGTGAATCATTATGTTTGGGCACTAGTGCTCATTGGCCTATTGTGCTTTCGTGTGAGAATGTTTCTTTTGATACAAACAGTTTTTTTCCCCATACAAATTGGAAGGCATTTGAAGCAGTACTAACGCTATTACAAACATTCTGGATGGAAGAACAAAAGAAAAACAGTGCTGATGAGTGGTAGAAACAATATATTCGTTTCATCACGGCTGTCAAAAATAGAGTGACTTATTGGAGAGAAAGAGATAAATATAAACCATCATTACCGGCGTATATCATCGAAAAATTAAAAGAGACACGAAAAGTGAGAAATAGATATTATCATTTAAGACATAAGGGAATTTTTAATGAGGAAACAAGAGTGCTATTACGCACGCTGACAAGAGAAACCAAAGTTGATATTGCTAAATACAAAAATGCTCAATGGCAAAATTTTTTATCTAACATTCAAACGTCGTACGATAAATCAGATAAAGCGTTTTGGTCACGTTTATCTCGCATTTACAAATCGCGTACGCTGCCCTTCAATAAATTATCAGATGGCACTAAAATAATATCAACACAACAAGAAATCACAAACGAATTATATCAGTATTACAACAAACAGTTTAAAGAATCGGCCTTGGATTTCTCTAATGAGCGCGAAGCTCAGATTGACAGTGAATATAAAGAGCTGTTAAATAAATTAATAATGTCGAGAGATAATGTCGAAAAAACTAGTACTTGGGAAGTTACACGATTAATTGAAACTTTAAAGCCTAAGAAGTCAGCAAGTTTTGACTTGGTATCAAACTTTATAATTAAAAGACTTCCTCCAAGTTACATCGAGTGCTTAGTCAATTGCTTTAATGCATGGTTAAACGAGTGTCGTTATCCAGACGAGTGGAAAATTGCAAAAATCATAACTCTAAATAAGTTTAAATCAGGTATCCTCAAGTATGAGCAAACTCGTCCAATATCCCTGTTAGCTACACATTCTAAGTTGTTCGAAAAAGTCCTTTTACTAAGAATCCGACACTGGCACTATATGTCGACTACCAAAAGGCTTATGACCGTGTATGGCATGCCGCTCTTCTTTGTAAATTAGAAAGAATGGGTATGCCTCTCAATTTATTGAAAACGACTGTTAGTTGGTTAAAAGATAGAAAAGGTTACGTAGAATATGGTGAGAGAACTTCACAAATATTTAATATCAATATAGGTCTTCCACAAGGCAGTAGTCTTAGCCCGTACTTATTTATAGTGTTTCACTCAGATCTAACAAATTATCTGGGAGCTCATTCATGTCATCTATTTGCAGATGATCTTTGTGTATTAGTTAGACCCCCAATAACGAGAAACTTAGGTCCGATGATCGATTACTTAGAAAAAGAAGGTACACGTATTTGTAAACAGGTATTTATGTACTCAAAAAAGTGGAAGCAACCATTAAATGTTTCAAAAACGGTAGTACAACTATTTCATACTCAAGTAAAAAGACCGATAGTAAACGTAACAATAGACGGAAACAAAATCGAATCAGTCAAAGAATTCAAATACCTAGGGTTTACTTGGACGGATAGACTATCGTTGAAGCCGACAGTCGAAAAAAGCATTGGAAATATTCAGAGATCGCTAGCGAAACTGAAATGGTTAAAATCTGGTCGCGAAATGTCATGTAAAGCCCTCTGTCAATGTTTCTTCGCATACACTTTTCCTCATTTCGCATGGTTATTCCCACTTTTCCCTCTCCTCCCACAATCTCAACAACGTTTATTGCAACAAAAATTCCGTGTAGGACTTCGACTGGTGCATCGCTGCCCCTTCGTTTCTGCGCATAATCTATTTAATGCCACTTCTGAACAGCTCTTAGAATTTTACGTCAAAAAATAATACTCAAAGAAGATTAAAAACTATGTTCATAACTGATATTGGTTCTTCATTATTCTATGAAGATATCTTCAGTTGGGATAATTTTTGTAAAAGGAAAAACGATCATCTTGGCCACTTTTTTGTTCACGCCGTGTGCAACAATTGATAGATCGACACAAATCGCTTCTTTTAAAGTGGTTGTCCTTTATAGATGCGAATTGATAACACAGAAATATGCATAACTGCACTGCTTGATTATAGATTTCTGTTCTTTTCTCCTTCTTTCTTCTTTTTCTTCCCTTTTTTTTTCGTTTTAAGTCTTTTAAGACTTTTAAGTCTTTTAAGTCTTTTAAGTCTTTTAAGTCTTTCTCTTTCGATTTTGTTCTTTCTTCTTTACTTTTTTTTCCTTTTGTCTTTTGTTTTTATAGGTTCTTTCCTTTTCTAGTTACTCGCTCTATCGGTGTATCTCCACTGCTGTTTATCATCATTGTTTCTCTCTTTCTCTCTCTCTCTCTCTTTTACACTAGTTTATTTTTATTCATATGTTTATTCCCATAATCGTATATTGGTACTCAGCACAGTATATTGGTGGCACAATGTATAACGCTTTGCTTTAAAGATGTAGCTATTCGCTTATACATCTATATTTCTCTCTTTTATATTGTCAGCACTTCCGAGTGTTACATCTACTAGCATAATAAAAAAAAAAATGAATCGTAGAACGACGAATTTTTCATCTATTTTTATTTCATATCAGAAAAAAAACATTCATTTTGATTTTTTCCTTCTCGTCATCAAGGCGACGAAGGTTGACAACGCAATAATATTTACTGTTTTTTCTCTCTTCGAATCTACTATTAGTATTCTCTTGTTACATATAAAAACGGTATAAACTTTTCATAGTCAAGTATGCCACTGTGTGCGATGCCTCGTGATTACGGTTTTGAATTTCGATTCCGTCATAGAGCTAAATAGAAACAAACATAAAATTGAGACTGAGCTTTTAATTATTTAAATATTTTCGATCAATGCTTTGTTTGATTTGATTTGTAGAGATGCATATCCCATCATCTTCTTCAACCGACAATGCGGAAAATCGAGTATTGGACAGATCAAATGAGAACGAACGTGAACCACTACTGCCACCGCCCGTATTAGTGAGACACAATGACGACAACAAAGTAAGAGCTACTGCTGTAATAGTGAATCATTTTGGTGTTGTTTACATGCACGACATATACTCCCACTGTGAAATTGTTCTTCGATCGTGACAGCTGTAGGACAAAACTGGACCGAAAAATTAGAAATACTTTAAATGTTCTTTGCACCAAAAATAATTCGTGAAAATTCAATATCACGGAGCTTTGCACATGTGTACCATAAGATTCCAAAATTAGCTCTCTCCTTAGAGCACATAAATTTCAATATTTGACTCAGTTCCCATATGATATTAAAGATCAAGAAAAATTTGATTCAAATTTCATAGGTTCGAAATTTGCGAGAACATGTGCAAACTTTATAAAGGATGAAAAATTGATGTACAT